AAGAAGGAAGAAAGGGAGAGAAGAAGGAAGGGAGGGAGGGAGAGAGAAGGAAGGAAAGAAGGAGGGAAGGAGGGAAAGAAGGCAAAGAGAGAAGGAAGGGAGGGAAGGATGGAGGAAAGAAGGGGGAGGCAAAGAGAGAGGGAAGGAAGGAGGGAGAGAGGAAGAAGGAAAAGAGGGAGGAAAGAAGAGAGGGAGAGACTAAGAAGGAAAAAAGGGAGGGAAGAAGAAAGAGAGGGAGGGAGAAGGAAGGAGGGAAAGAAGGAGGGAAAGAAGGCAAAGAGAGAAGGAATGGAGGGAGGGAGGAAAGAAGGGAGGGAGAGATTAAGGAGAAAGAAAGGGAGGGAAGAAGGGAGGGAAGAAGGGAGGAAAGAAGGGAGGGAAAGATTAAGAAGGAAGAAAGGGAGGGAGGGAGAGAGAGAGAGAAGGAAGAAGGGAAGGAAGGAGGGAAGGAACGCAAAGTGAGAAGGAAGGGATGGAAGGAGGGAGAGAGGGAGGAAAGAGACACAGAGGTCGGCTATTTCAAATGACCATAGAAGAGATAATAGTTGATGGTGATGTTACTCATAAGTAACATGGCATTACTTGAAACAGGTCCAAAACAAGCCCACCATTGACTCCTCCAACTCTTCCTCTTCTCCTTCTCCTTCTCTTCCTCCTTCTCCTCCTCCTCATATATATATATATATATCTCTTTCTCTCTCTCCACACACACACACACACACACACACACACACACACACGCATGCACACACAGATACTGGAACTTTCATTAGTACTTTGAAAGTTCTTTCAGGCTGAAGTGCAGAGGATAAACACCTTAAGTAAAAATCAAGAGACCTGTAATTGATTTCACCTTTTCGATGGTGCCTTGCTGTCTGCTGCAGATTTGTCTGCTGAGAAAGGTCTGTCTCCAGGAATAACCGTTATAGCAGCCTTTCCCAAAACGGGGCCGGTGGTTATAGCTGATCTAGGGCAATGTTTGTCTCCATGCATCCAAGCTAGAAATTTTTTTGCACAACCTTAAGTGGGGACACAAAGATTAGGGGAGATTGCCACCGGGCTAAATTTAGTTAGGAGACAGTACAGGTAGTCCTTGACATACAGCCACAATTGAAGCCAAAATTTCTGTTGCTAAGTGAGATGGTTGTCAAGTGAATTTTGCCCCGTTTTGCAACTTTCCTTGCCCCAGTTGTTCATTGAATTGCCACAGTTGCTAAGTTAGCAGCATGATTGTTAAGCCAACCTGGCTTTCCCATTGACTTTGCTCGTCAAAGGGGATCATATGACCCGGACACACTGCAAGCAACATAAGTTCATGCCAGTTTCCCAGCGTCCAAATTTTGATCACATGACCTTGGAGATAAATCACTTGGGAAAGCCAAGGGAAATCATCCAAACCATAAAGAAAGCAAAAGTTGGAATATTTCAGACATTGTGATGCGACACCCGGAAAAATTACGGCATCCTTCACTTAATCCTCTAAGAAAAGATTGAAGACAAACAAGAGTCCAGGCAGAAGAAGAACATCATGGCTTCAAAATCTCTAAGGGACTGGTTGAGACAAAACTCAACAGCCCTTTTTTGTGCGGCTGTTGATAAAAATAGGATTGCCAACATGATCACCAATGTCCAATGACAGATATGGCAGAAGGAGAAGGAGGAGGAGGAGGAGGAGGAGGAGGAGGAGGAGGAGGAGGAGGAGGAGGAGGAGGAGGAGGAGAAGAAGAAGAAGAAGAAGAAGAAGAAGAAGAAGAAGAAGAAGAAGCCACACTTATCCAGATACATGGTCACACCCACCTAGCCATACCCACAGAACCAGTTGTTAAAACATTTTAATCCCACCCCTCAAAAAACTGAAAAGCCCTTTTTCGTGACAAGAATAGGATCGCCAACATGACCGCCAATGTCCGATGACTGATATTGACACAAGAGGAAGACAACCGTGGAGATGCTGAAACAGTCATAATGTCAGGGCTCCAACAAATCCACCCTCGTTCAAATCCAAAGTCTCCAGCCGCATCTCAAAGAAAAGAAAATTGGTTTAATAGAAATTGCCACGTTGGTGTGTAGCTGGGTGCAGCCGATACTAAATTACATCGTACATTTCCCCCTTGACCCTGGTCTCCCCCCCACACCGCCTGGATGTGACTTCTCCAATGGGACACATCTACCTCCAAGAATCATCCATCATGCTCTCCAATAACCCTCTTATGCTCCGACAACTTCGGGCTACCGGGGTGATTATCTGGGCATTTCAAGAATGCCTTGTTTTCACCCCACTCCCTTTTTCCTGCAGCTAAAAAGACCAACGGAGTATCTTTTTAGTTGACACATAAGCGTCAAAGAAGAGAGTTTTTTCAGTACCGTTATAAATTTGAATGGTCACTAAACGAACTGTTGTAAGTTGAGAACTATCTGTAAGGAGCAAACCAGAGGTAGTATTCAGCCAGTTCAGACCGGTTCTTGTACACCGGTAGTGGAAATTTTGAGTAGTTCATGGGAACCAGCAAATACCACCTCTGGCTGGCCCCGGCCACCCGCACCTGCCATTACCTCTCCTGTATTCCCTTGTTTTTTAGCTGAGCTGATACGTGTGGCAGAGTGGATTGCCGCACCTCAGCTGAGCTAAAACAAACAGCTCAGCTCACCATCGTTGACAAAGAGCCCGCTTTTTGAGCCCTGTGCACTCTCGTGGAACCGGTAGGAAAAAAATTGGAAACTGACCACTGGAGCAAACTCTATTAATTAAGAATTAAGAAGAGCTTCTTCTTCTTCTTCTTCTTCTTCTTCTTCTTCTTCTTCTTCTTCT